GCTGGGCACAGCTGAATCGAGCGGCGTGGAAGGGGCGCGGCCCTTGGACAACTCCCCCAGGATCGCCCTTCGTTTGCATCAGAGGGGCGGGCACAGTGCGTGGTGGGCATAGACACCACGTGTGGTGCACTGCACGCCCGTTGGGACGGCATGTGTGTTGGGACTGCACGCAAGTTGGACTGCACGTGCGTTGGACTGCGGCGGCTGCACAGTCAGCGCAGGCTGCTTGCTGATTCGAAGCTGCCCGGCCCAGCGAAGCCAAGGGCTCATGTTGGTGGTCCCCCCGGCAGGGCCGCTGCGCGCACGCATGCATGTCCCTGGCGCGCGGCGCCCGCAAGGGCCGGGGCCCGCTGGGCTGGCTGCAGGCGCAGCTCACTTGAGCGCCGCCGCTGCCTCGCGCGCCTTCTGCAGGCGCTCAATCAAGGCCTGCGCATGCATGGGTGAGATGGGTGGGATGGGTGGGATGATCGTGGGTCGGTGGGATGGTGGCTGGGTGCGTGGCTGGGTGAGTGGGGTGGTGGGTGGGTGGTGCAGTTGTGGGAGGGCGTGTTGCTGGGTTCAGCGGTGCGGGGTCGCCAGGGGTGAAGGCCTGAGTAGGCCGGTAGGCGGGCCGCAGGGTGGCCGGGCGGCAGGGGGGTGCAAGACGAGGGCGGCCAGAGCCACAAAATCGATGCATTGACGGACTTGAACCAGGGGCAGCTGGTTCAAATTCCAGATGTCAGATGCTCGCTGGTTGACGCCCAGCGAGGCGCTGGTTCAGATTTCAGATGTCTGGTCGCAGCCCCGCAGGAGCCCAGCTGCCGAGCGGGCCCCGGCAGCCGGCGCTCTGCTGCAAGCACGTGGCGCCCCTTCTGCCTCAGCAACGCGTCGGTGTGTATTCATGTGCTGCACTGAAAGACGCACAGTCGTGCACTTCTGCATCAGCGCCCCTAGACCCCACCTGCACGCGCCCCTGCCTGCGGTACGTAGCCAGCGCGCCCAGCGCCGCCGCCCGCTGCTCCTGGGAGGGCGCCGGCGGCAGCGACGCGATGACGTCAGCACCTGCCAGGTCCTGGGCCCACCTGGTTCCATGGGGGATAGAGAAGGGGGGCGTTTACCAAATGGTGAGCAGCGCCGCGGGTGAATCGGCGTGGGTGTCGCCAACCGCCACACGGGTGACCACACTGCAAAAGGCAGGGGCCGCGGCGCGGCCAGACTGCCGCGGCTGGTGAGCGCGCCAGGCGGCGCTATGAGCAAGAAGGGGTCCTGCCCGGCTCTGCCTTTTGTCGGTGGCGGCCGCCGCCCTGTGGGGCGAGGGGTGCCCCTTCACCTGTAGGGGCGTGCTCTGGCTGCTGCGCTGCCGAATTCGTAGGGCCCCGGCCCTGCCAATTGGGCCAGGACCTCGTAGCCCTGGTGGTGGTGAAGGGGGGCACACACGCAGGTGCGCGCGCGCGCGCGCATGTGTATGTATGTGTGTGTGTTTGCATGCGTGCGTGCGTGTGAGTATTTGTGTGCGTGTGTGTGCGTGCGAATGTGTGTTTGAAGGGGTATGGGGGAGTCCCAGTCAACTTGACGGCTTGGTGAGGGCTTGGATGCTTACGAAAACAGGGATGGCTGGTGGATGACACCCACCGACCTGCCACCAAAACCCGTCCAAGGACCGCTGGGCCCGCAGCGCCAGCGCCGGCTCCGCGCCTTGGCTTGATCACCGCACGGGAATTACGCCCCCACACCCCCCCACCCCCCACGCCCACCTCCCCGTCGCCGGCGTCCCCAGGAAACAGCGCCGCCAGCACGTCCTCGTCCGCCGCCGCCGCCGCACGGGCGTCCGCGCCGCAGCAGCAGGCGCCGACGAGGCCGGGCGCCGCATAGTGCTGGAAGCGCACCTCGAGCAGCGGCGGCGGCTGCTGCTGCTGCTGCTGCTGCTGCTGCTGCTGCTGCTGCTGCTGCTGCTGGGGATTGAGGAGCGACACCACCACCGACAGCGGATGCACCTGCATCAGCATGAGGCAAGGCGCACTTAGCAGGAAAGCCACTGACACCTGCAGTGTCACCAGCCCAGGATCAAGCCGTCCGCACTCAGACAACTGCACTCATCACCCGATCTCGCCTAGGGCCTCAAGCTGCGATGCTTGAACGCATTACTGCCAAGCCTCGCTGCAGCTTCTCAGAGGCTCCATGACCCTCCAAAGCGCGCCCAGCCGGCGCACCTGGTAAACCCCGTTTTCCGGGGCCGCGGACCCCTCCTTCCGCCGCTTCGCTGGTGGCCCGCCCGCCGCGTCGCCGCGCTCCGCGCCCTTGGCGCCGCCGCCGCCGCCGCCGGGGTCCGCCGCCGATAGCCGCTCGGCCTCCTCCGCTGAGCCCTCCACCCTGACGCCCACCGGCAGGGCAAAAGCGTCCGCGGCCGCCGCAAACTGGGAGTAGACGACCCACAGCGGCAGCGGCAGCAGCCGCGCCGCCCCGCGCTGCGCGGCGCGCAGCGCCTCGCCGCCGCCGGCGCCGCCGCCGCGGGGCCCGAGAGCAGCGGCCAGCGGGCGGCCGGCCTGCTCAAGGCCGCGGAGCGCCGCCTGCAGGGCTTCCAGCCGCCCCTTCTGCTGCGCGGCGCGTGCCGCCTCCTGTGCGCGCTCGCCCTCGGCGCGGCGGAGCGCGCCGGTCAGGCGCTTGCGCGAGGCCAGTTCGTGGGAGAGCCGCGCGAGCATTAGGGCGTGCGCGCCGCCGCCCCCCTTGGCCGCCGCGGCCGCGTTGGCGGCGTCTGATAGGAATTCCGCCTCTGGTATAAGCGCGATCTCGCCGTCCGAGTGGGCGCTGCGGAAGCTGGTGCAGCTGCTGATTTCCTTCTCGTAAAACTGCCTCTCGTAGACCGCGTTGGCGAGCAGCAGGACGGAGCGGTCCAGCTGCGACTTGGCGGCGGCGGCGCGCTCGCGGACGGCCTCGCTGCCGAGCGCCTCGTCGCGGTAGGACGCGCGCAGGCGCAGCAGCGCCATGGTGCCGGCGCGGCAGGCGTCCTGGAGCGCCGAGGCGTCGGCCTGTGGCTTTGAGCCCTTGAGCTCAACTATTCTTTCCACCATCTCCTTCAGCACCTCTGCGGCCTCCATAGCCACGACAAGTTGTGATCTGGATCTCTTAGTTTGTCAAAGCAAGAAAATACGAATCGCGATACAGCAGCACCTGTTATACATCTGGTATGCGGATCATAATACACCTGTCATCGGCACTTGGGTTACCCGGCTGGCGCTTCTGCCGTTGTCAGTCAACCAGGATCGGGGCATGTGGCTTGCGTATGATTGCGCAGCAGACACATGAGGTATGCACAGCACCATAATTGCAGGGGCGGCGCAAAACTGCAACCTGGTGGTTGTGCTGACTACACTTCAGCACGGTGACACAGTACCGACGTTTGACCGACGTGCGTTTGACCCACACCACACTGTGCAGCACCAACCTGCAGGGCGTTTTTCGGCTGATGGCTCTTACGCCTGCCCTTGGTGTTGAAACAGCGGATGCGCACAAAGCACAGCACACAGCAGCTCACACCCACTCATACTCAGCAAAGCTGCTGCATGTCTAGTCAAGGAAATTGTACGAAATGGGGCGCCGTCTGGAAAGGAGCTTATCCAGCCACAGCTTTCGCAAATGTTGGTCCCGGGTGCAGGTACAACGCCGGTGACGATGAACAACATAATGATTAGTCATTAAACGATCCCAACAATGTGTTGATTTCCGCAATCTAGTGCCCGTCGACCGGTCCCCACAATCTTGAACCTCTTGTGTTAGGATGCAGTGTTCCTGCATTTGATGAACACGACGGCCCGTGCGCATCGATTAATGATGAGGGCTTTCCCCCCTCTTGGCTTCCTCGCCCTTGCTCCCTAGCAACGGCAGTGTATATTGCTCGCACCTAACCCCTGAATTAAAAACCCCCATGCTCTCCGAGATGACATGGCGTCCCGCGTCTGCCACCTGGGCCGCATCACCATGTGTGATTTGGCGCTAGCAGCTCTGTCTCCCCCTCACTCTCCGCTGTTGAGCTTCCCCCACCCATCCACCCCCTCACATATGCACACATACACACGCGTACACAATACACACACGCACGCACACGGACGCGTGCGCGCCCGAGCTTGTCGCTCTGTGAGGGGCCGGGAGCCTTGCCCCGGCACATCGCCCGCATGGGCTGCAACTTGCACTGTGTCGGGGCGTGGCGGTATTGAAAGGGCCGTGCTTGGCTGCCGCAGCTGGGGCTTCCTGCATTTCAGCTACTGAGTGGTGGCACTCGATCTATGGCATGTGTCCGGCTGCAGTGCTAAGCATGCAGTCATACGTGAATTGCTGACGCGACCCGATTACGGCTCCGCGCGTCTCGCCTGCAGCAGCCGACCTGGAGCTCAGCGGTGCGGGGGCGATTTACAGTATGGTTACGGCCGCCTATCTGCTCTCAGCAAAGGGCGCGGCTTGTGCGCCGGCTCAGGACCGCAATGTTGCATTGACGTCAAACTCATTTTTCCGTTCCTCGCTCCCGCAGGCGGCCGCGTACGGCGGGGCGAGGCGCCGCCACCGGCTGCGTGCGCTTCGTCGAGCAGCGGCCGCGGCTTGGATGCGTGCAAATCAGGGTTGAGGGGTGCCGTGCGGTGAAAAAAAGGCCGCCAGCGGCCGCCGCGCGGCGGCGGGGGATCGATTGTCTTGTGCATCCATGCGCGGGCTGCGGGCGGTGGTGGACCCGCGCGGCCGGGATGCAGCTGGGCCGCCCGCACGGCGAGCGCACGCCGCCTCCGCCCCCTCCGTTGGGCGGGCCGCCACACGTGCCGCGCCGTCACAGCCGCGCCAGCCGGCCGGGCGTGCGGGGCGGGGCGGAGGTCGGTGTGGGGTGACCCGCGTCAGGCGCTGGCTGTGACGCGGGCCTCGGCCTTCATCATGTCGACAAACTGCTCGAAGCAGATGTCGGCGTCGTGGGGGCCGGGGGAGGCCTCGGGGTGGTACTGAGG